TTAACGCTGCTGGCTGGTCAGTCCCACCATTCCTCATCTTCGCTGGCCAGTATCACCTGTCTGCCTGGTATGAGGAGGATATCCCACGCGACTGGGCGATCGCAGTTAGTGACAACGGCTGGACGAATAACGAGCTAGGAGTAAAGTGGCTGAAGCACTTTAACGCTTACACGAAGACTCGCGTTGTTGGTGCGCGTCGCCTGCTCGTCTTTGACGGCCACAAGAGCCACCACTCTCTTGAGTTTCAAGAGCTCTGCAAGGAGAACAACATCTACACGCTCTGTATGCCACCTCACTCATCTCACCTACTCCAGCCTCTTGACGTTGGCTGCTTCTCGCCATTGAAGCGCGCGTACAGCCGTGAGGTGGAGAGCCTGATCCGCCACCACATCAACCACATCACGAAGCTCGAGTTTCTCCCAGCGTTTAAGGCAGCGTTTAATCGATCGTTCACGCCAGCCAATATCTGCTCAGCTTTCCGCGGCGCAGGCCTTGTTCCTCTCCAGCCAGACGCTGTCCTATCGAAGCTAGACGTGCAGCTCCGCACGCCTACTCCAGCTGCTCTACCAGAGGCTCCCTGGGAAGCTTGTGCGCCGAGCAACGTACGCGAGCTTGAAGCTCAATCGACGTTAATACGTGAGCGCGTGCGACGGCATAAGAGCTCATCACCAGCTTCGATCATTGAGGCGATTGACCAGCTCAAGAAGGGCGCTGAGGTAATAATGCTCTCAGCCGAGCTAATGCGCGATCGGATTGCCAGCCTTGAGAAGGCTAATGAGGCAGCGTCAGCGCGCAAACAGCGTAAAAAAAGCGTATACAACAGCGAGGAGTCTTAACAAAGGGAGCTGGCGAGGATATACTCGCTCAACGTGAGGCTGATCAGCAGATTGCTCGTGAGCAGCGTCAAGAAGGAGAGCGATTAGGCGTGAGCCGCCAGGCTCTCGCGCGCTGTAAGAAGTGCAGAGAGACTGGACATAACTCTCGTACGTGCAAGAAAGATACCTTAGATACTGCTTAATCTGCTCTATTAATATCTATATATTATCTTGTAAGGTGGTTGAGATATACGCGTGTAGAGGTGCACAAAGTTGGTGGGGTGCGTCACTCGCTTGTACGCGTCACTCGCTTGTAAAACATGTTAGTTGTGCTGTCGCAGCTTGAAATTTACCGAACATGCATAAGACAATCTTTCGCAGTGCGTGCAACAAGTCCGCTGTCTCGACAGTGTTGTCAACAATCAGCACTCAGCCCCGGAGATATCTCCCTGGTGATGATGGCCGCTGTGCGGGTCGCAGTAGCTTCTCACAGACCTATTTGTCGTTGCAGATTGACCCCTGCAGCAGCGGCAGATCTATTCCTATCTTATTGTACCTCGACAGCATCTTCGGCGGCATCACGACAGATATCCTGCACGTCATCACGGCGGGCGTGGTGGGCAAATTCAGCGGCGACTGAGAGGTGCACAAAGCCTTTCGCTGCCTTGGTGTTGCTTTGATATGCAAGTTGTAACCTTTTCACAGAAGAACGCCTCACGACAACGACGTGGAGGTACCTGCGTCCTTTTATACAATTTCTCTTACGTACTCTAAGCCTGGACTCTGTCCGCTTACTTCCAATACAAAGGCAGGTTGCTGAGGACATGCACTGCGAGGACACTGTAGCATAGGCACTAGAACCCCGTGTACGGGGCTGAATGTACCATAGGGCAGTAGCATACTTGAGGCGGGACCTATGCGTTGTCAAGACTCATAGAGAATGATAGTACTTTACCAAAGATTTTAAACAGAGATTTGCATATAAATATATAGACAAACCTCTACTACATCCGGGCGAGGATTCGATGCGTTTCGGTACCTTGCACTCTGGGGATACGCACAACTTCCAAGCACATACCAAGCACATCTCGCGTGTCTCTTGGATCGATGATTCCATCATCCAACCCCACTGCGCTCGTACGGTAACACTCACTGTCTCTCAGCACATCGTCGCGGAATACCTGCGTGCTAGCTGAGATCTCGGATTCCACTATCTCTCGACCTTGGCTCTTCGCGCTCCCACGCTGAATAGTCTCCATGACGCCTGAGAGCTGGTCGGGGCCCATGACGCTGCATCGGCTAATCGGCCAGGTGAATAGAAAGCGTGGCCGGTAAGCTCTTCCGCACATGGCATAGTTGCCAGCACCGTATGATGCGCCCAAGATAACAGAGATATGGGGAACCGTCGAGCAGCTGACTGCAGAGACCATTTGGGCACCGCGCTTAATGATTGCAGCGTGTTCGGCGTTGCTCCCAACCATGAACCCTGTAACATTATGAAGAAACACAATGGGTGTATTTCTGGAGTATCGTTAGTAGTGTGCACATGCTCGTATGGCTCTGAGACGTACTGTTGATTGCACAACCGGATGAATTGTGCGCCTTTCGAAGCTTCGTCGGGATTTATAATAGGTGTTCTATTTGCAATGATCCCCACGCGGTGGCCTGTAAAAGCATCAGTGGAATGATAACATGTACTTCGATCTTCCCGCACCGAGAATGTCCCCCCAAGCTGTAAGGAGGTTACGTCCAAAAGTCGGCTTAAAATCCAGTAATCTCGAGTCATCGACAATACGTATCAACACCTCCATCATATCGAACGATTTTCGAATATCTGGGTCGATGAGGCTCATGAGCTCACTCGCCGGGTATCTTGGTGGTAGAGGTGCAACCAGCGAGTTATTATCGAAAACGGGGCTGTGAAGCGACGCGACCCACTCCCTCGCCTTCCGGACAGCATCAAACCTACATCGTTAGCCTCCTTCTTTGACACATCTCCCGATCACTTACTCATCCACAGCAATCTGATCTGCCAATCCTGTGACCGTCGCATGCACCTTCGCGCCACCAAGCTCTTCCGCTGTGACCACCTCTCCTGTCGCCATCTTTACCAGCGGCGGACCGCCTAGGAACACTTGTGCTTGATCTTCCACAAAGATCGTGTAGTCGGATAGTGCAGGATGATATGCACCGCCAGCCGTCGAAGAGCCGAAGACAACGGCGCATGTGGGCTTGCCTTGTTGCGTACGAACAGCGAGATCGCGAAAGATCCGTCCGCCTGCGTGGAATACTCGAAACTGTTGGGGGAGGAAGACGCCGGCCTATGAAACGTAAATTTTAGTTCGACGAAGCAATACGGATAAAGTCTGGACCTACTGACTGCACAAGTGCAATAATAGGAAGATCATTCTCTGTCGCAATTTCCGTGATGCGATTCTGCTTGATGACTGCCTGCATAAGCTGTCCGAAGTTGCACTAGATCGGGCATCCTCCACTCACCAGTATACTCATTCCACGCGCCACCACTCTGCGTTGGGATATGCGAAAGTACCATGCATGGCCGGTTTTCAATCACTCCAATGCCGGCTATCAGGCTCGCACATGGTGTCGAATCTCGTAGTTTATGACCGGCGAAGGCACCAAGTTCCAGAAAGGGCGAGTCCTGGTCCAGAAGGAGAGCGACTCTGTCTCGTGCTGCTGAGTGTAAGCCACGGAATCCAAACTCTGTGGGAGTTCAAGGTTGGTGTACCGAGTAATTGACCCCGTGAGATGTGTCGCTCGAGTGCTCCGGATTTGCCTTCTGAACATGTTTCCTCAAGTGCAGTGTAATACTGTAATAGTATCGACTGCCAGGATTCTTGGTTTTGCTGATACGGCTGCGCACTAACCCCGACCTTCGATTTGATTGACGGAAAAGCCAAGTGAGGTGCCATGTTTTCCGTGTTGAAGGTACGATTGCCGTCGAATGTATAGAGATGCGTGATAGTGATAAATGTTTTCGAATAACAACTACCATTGCTAGCCAACAGTCGTTCACTCGGCTCGGTACATTGAAGAGTTCACCTACTGTGACGCCGTCATAATCATGTGATTCAAAACATATCCGAGGATGATGAAAACGTGCGGGCCGTGATCCGTCCCCAATGAACCGTGCCAAGACGGCTTCCGCACGGTTCACTTCAATGGGTCTGTCTAACCGCATTAGGCCTTACCCGCTCTTGCAAACTATAAGCTTCGTGACTGCTAACCCTTAGCATTGTGTTGTCTTATAACTAGAGGCTCACGTCTCTCAAAGGTGCCGATTACTAATCTCTTTCACGATCACACTTGAAAATGCCGACCAAAGATTGGACCCAGCAATCATTGTCGCTAGTCCATGGATCGACCTCGACCCCCTTGTGGCATAAAACGCTAGGAGCGATATTACACGAACACTCGCAAACTTATGGGGTTAAGACCGCGGTGGTCGTGCCATGGCAAAATGTCAGATGCACATTCAAAGATCTGCAATCTAGGAGTGAAGCAGTTGCGAGAGCACTTCTTGCCAGTGGCCTCAAAAATGGCGATAGAGTCGCTATTATGGCCGGTAATAGAATTGAATATATTGAAATATTCTTAGCGGCTGCGAGGATAGGTTGTGCGTTGGTGGTGTTGAACAACACACATACAGCGAGCGAGCTGATCGCGGCGCTCGAGCGAATATGTGAGTTCACGTGTATCGGATCCTATGATTTTCATTACTAAATAGCGCTCTCTGAGCCACAGCCCCCAGAATTCTCTTTATCGCTCAAGGCGTCAGCAGTCGGTCATTTTCGAGCCATATTGAACAGCTGAAGACGAACATCGCAGCTGGCAAACTGGAACACTTACTCCGTGCTGTTGTCCTCACGCCGAAACAAGATGAGAGATTTCAAGGCTTATTCTCAAATTACGGAGAGTTCTCTCGTACTGGCCGAAGTGTACAACTTGCTGAGCTTTGGGAAGCGGAGAAACTGGTGAAACACGATGATGTATTGAACATGCAATTTACTTCAGGTAAGCTGTGCAATGAGTGGAGAGCGACAAGGTGGTAACGTTTGTGAAAAGGCACAACCGGTACTCCGAAAGCAGCGATGCTGACACATTAGTAAGCATTCTTCAGTCATCATTTGATTATAATTAATGGCTGTGTAGTAACATCGTCAACAATGGTCACCTCGTAGGCTCTCGGATGTGTCTCACGCCCAGCGACATCGTGTGCTGCCCACCCCCACTTTTCCACTGCTTCGGCCTTGTCATGGGTTTCCTGGCTTCCTTCACGCATGGCGCCAGCATCGTCTTCCCGGCCGATCAATTCGATGCCAGTCTCACGTACGATGCTATCGTTGCTGAACGCTGCACTGCACTGCTCGGCGTGCCGACAATGTTCATCGCGATGCTAAGCGTACTTCCCGCGAAGCGACAAAAGATCACTTCCATACGTACTGGACTGGCTGCCGGCTCTATGGTGCCTGCCCCACTACTAGAGCGGCTAAAAAAGGAGATGGGCGTGCGTGGGATCTTGGTCGCATACGGGATGACAGAAACTAGTCCTGTGACTTTCATGATGGGTCTTGATGATTCGCAGAAGCACCTGAATAAAGGACTCGGCATTGTGATGCCGCATACCAGTGCCAAGATTGTCGATGGGCAAGGCCGCATATTACCAAGAGGTTCCAGGGGTGAACTATGTACTAGTGGATTTGCGCTGATGAAAGGATATTTTGCCAACGAGGCCGGCACAAATGAGGTCATGCGACGGGATGAGGAAGGGGTGCTTTGGATGCATACGGGCGACGAGTGCATCATAACTCAGCAAGGCTACTGCGAAATTACAGGCCGCATCAAAGATATCATTATCAGGGGTAAGCCCACCTTGTGCTGATATTCATTCCATCTACTAAAAACACCAGGGGGCGAGAATATCTTCCCTGCTGAGATTGAGGAACAACTGCTCCGCCACCCTTCTATCTCCGAAGCTAGCGTCGTCGGTCTCTCTGATGAAAAGTACGGCGAGATAGTGAGTTGCTTCCTGCGTGTTTCCGGTGGGGAACAGAAGGTGCGTGACGAAGACGTGAGAGCATGGGTGGGTGCAAAGCTGGGAAGGCAAAAAGTCCCAGCGCGGGTGTTTTGGGTGGGCGATGAAGCTGGGTGTGTGGCCGTAGACTTTCCGAAAACCGGCAGTGGAAAGCATCAGAAGCATCTCTTAAGGGACCTAGGTGAGAGTGTTCTTAAACGGGAGAAGATGCAGGATCTACGAGTAGAGAGAGCAAAATTGTGAGTGGCTGGATGATGCTTGTATCTATTGTACACAATACTCAAGGGGTTGCTTAGCAACACTTTAAACTTCTCCATAACACATTTGTACCTCTCTATGTATATACTGCTTCTATATATATAGTACATAAGGAAACAATAAGAGAAGATCCATACTTTTTTCTAGACGTGCAGAGGTAGGCAGAAGCGCACAAGGCAGCGCGTGAGGCAGCGCTTAAGACAGCGTATATGATGATCCTGAGACATAATTGCCCTACTACCTCTCTCTACGCATATCGAATCTTGATACCTATATAGAGACAGAATATCTACAGTCTAATTTATATATAGTATAATGCAGTTACCTCTCCACCGTACACTAAGAGGAAAGAAGAGTGAATTTTACCAGAACTCTTACTGCTTGCAGCTTGCATGGAATGTGTTGCATATAACCCAGAAAGCGTGCTAAGCAAATCCCCGATTTTTGCATACAACGGGTCACAAAATTGCAGTGAACAGTGTTCCGAGTTAGTCTCTCGAGGACATGACTGTGTCACGAATTCGATGTGAACGAGTCGAATAACATGGTAGGCGGAATGCTCATGACACGATGTAGTCCTAAATGAAGACTACTTACTAAAGCTTCGCCTTTCCCTTTGCCATCACATAGACATCCCAGTCAGTTGCCCTCCGTCCCGCCTGAAACTCCTTCAACCCAAACTCCGACTCTCCCCCAGGCGCCATCATCTCCCCAAAAGCTTCTTCAATGCACTCTGTTTGACTCTGTTCACCTTCTTTGTTCTGACTCGCTATAACCAGTTTCTTGCTCAATGTCGATGCCCGTGGGGCAGCGTGCTTCAATCCCTGCAACAACTCATCCGCGGCACTGTCTAGCATGTCTGGGCTCTCGACTACCTTTGACACGATACCCAAGGATAACAACTCTGCGAGCTTGATAGGGCGCGCGGTGAGCATGGCCTCCCTGCCGAATGACGGACCCCATTCTCGAAGCACATATTTCGATATCGTGGCAGCACAGAGCCCAAGTTTGACCTCGCTCAGCGTGAACGTGCTGTTCGCCACCCCAATACGGATATCACAGGCAAATGCCAACCCCACACCACCACCAAATGCCGGGCCGTTGATTGCTGCGATAGTAACCTGTGGGGCGGTATCTATGGCCTCGAAAAGTCGTGTCAATCGTTGGAATTGTTCGGTGCTGGCTGAAGTGCTGCGTGCGACAGAACTATCATTGCCGAGATCCATGCCGGTACAAAAGAACTTTCCGTTAGCGGTGAGCACGATGCGCGTTATTGTGTCATCCGTCGCTACACGCGCGAAGAACCCAGTGAGGTTGGTGATGATTGATGCCGTTAGCGTGTTGCCATTCTTTGAGCGATTGAGAACGATCTTAACATTGGGACCCGAACGGAGGATCTGTAAACCTTCGAATCGGTCTGATGTCGGAAACCATACCATTTTGCCTCCTTCGTGTTGTCGTTCCGCAGGTGGCGCACGAGGGGTAGTGAATCCGTGTTTGCGAGCCAGAGCTGCCCCGACACGACTCCCATTTTCTCTTTTAAGTTGTTCTGATATCCAGGAACCAGTCCGCACCAGATCCAGCAGACTGACACCTGTTTGAACTCCAGCTCGTTCGAAGAGATACACGAGATCTTCGGAAGCAACGTTCCCTTTAGCGCCTGGAGCAAACGGACAACCACCAAGACCGGCCACACTACTGTCGAATGTACGCAGCCCGAGTTCAAACGCCGTCCAGACGTTCGACACTGCTTGCCCATAGGTGTCATGAAAATGCCCTGCAAGCTTTTCCGCTGGGATACCATGGTGGAACAAGTATTTCAGCAAGCGTTGCACATCTGCTGCAGCGCCGATACCGACTGTGTCTCCCAAGCTGACTTCGTAACATCCCATTGCTAGCAGTCCCCGCACGCCGTGGAGAACTGCTGCCTCCGCAGTTGGACCGTCGTACGGATCATGAAAGATGCAAGATATGTATCTAAGCCGGTGGTTAGTATAGTTCCTGTCGACTTGTGACTGTGAGGTCATCGCACACACCCTCTGACCTGCATTCCCTTCCCCTTTGCAATACCAGCCACTACTTTCGCCCGTGCCAGCCCCTCTTCAACAGTACAATTTGTATTCGCCTTACTGAATCCCTCGGTCGCACCTACGAAGACTGCGACCTCCTTGACCCCCAGCTTCATGGCTAATTCCAATCCCTTCCTATTCGGCACCAAAACCGGCAGCCTCAGATTGTCCTGGCTGATCAGATCCTTGACGACGCCGTGCGACAACACTTTCTGATTATCAGCCAATTGCGGAACCGCTTTGGACGAAACGGCGGATGTGACTTCGATTGCGCGTAAGCCAGCTGAGTGGAGGCGTTGTATGAGGGAGATCTTGGTTGCAGTGGGGACGGGCGTCGTGATGTTTTGCAACCCATCGCGAGGTCCGACTTCGACGATGCGAACATGGTCACCGGTAGGAGAAACACTAGCCATTCTGACGATTGTCGTTCAAACGTTAGGGAATAGGTTATGTCGTGTAATCTAGCTGATCATCCAGTGTGATATGGGTGGCGGAACTAGGCTCTGCATGGCTTGACGACAGTGTTTTACTGTGCACATGGAGACAAGCGGAACCGCGATATCCCTGGACTGGATCCGTGTGTGGAAGCGAGGTAGTGGCAACTGCGCCATAGGATTGCGGGCCGCGTCCCGTGGTCTATACGACCTGGCCGAGGCCACGCCCTGTGCGTGCGAGTTTACCGAGGCCGTCTGTGAATTATGGGGTAGCGGGGTGGAGGCGCGCCTTACGGCTCTTCGGGAGTGTCAGATGAAGGCTAGTCCCAAAACTGAGGGTTGAACGTGCAGTTATCAGTCAGTGCAAGCTTATTGCTTCCTAATCCAGCCAAAATAATGTTCTTTCTATTTGATTCTCTTGCAAAACTCTTGACAACCATACTTCTTTGCGGTGGAATCGAGTTCGACTTTCAATCAATCTGGGCAACCCGCGCTTTTTCAACTCTGAGATTGAGAGTGGAAATTTTGGCATACGCAGGTGCACATCTTGTTCTGAATACTCCGTCGTACTAGAGGTTGTGTTTGCAAATCACAACATAAAAAATATATCTCCAGATTACCAAGTTCCAGGCTAAAGAGTACATACACTTGGTAGTTAGGACAGAACGATAAGGTCATGCCGGTTTCGTAACGGCTGGGCGTGGTTGTCACGGTGATGGGCATCAATTGGATTGGAGTTCCTAGCGATAGCAGTCTGTTTCAAAAGAAGAAATTCTCCATCCGATAATTAAGTCCAGGTGCAGTCTTCATGGATGCTATAAAACAGTAGTGAGTAGACCCTATCCATATGGATACAGAGTGCATGTAAGTCGAGTCGTTCCGCGTTAAAACCGACACAACAAGTCACTACAATGGCCCGGCTACAATCACTCCACTTCCTTCCCTTCGTCGTTTTCAGCCCTAACCTCGCAAAGCACACTTCCCTCCTCCACCGCCTCTCCGCTCTGCCTCACGTTTTGGAAAACTCCCTCGCCAGGTGCCAGGATACTGACCTCCATTTTCATGCTTTCAATCACCATAAGCGCCTCCTCTTTCTTCACCACCTGGCCGCTCTGCTTCAGAACCTTCAATATCTTACACGGCAGTGGTGCTTTGATGATACCTCCACCGCCATCCGCAGCATTAGCAGCTGTTTCTCGCAAACTCTCAGCATAAGCGAGCGTGCTGAAGACCTTGAATTCTACCCATGTACCCAGAGCGGGAATCTGTGCGTAAATCGAGACGCCAAGGTTTGGATCACTAGATTGGGGCGTCGAGAAGATGACTGTCGCCTTTTTTCCGGCGATGAACGCGGTGACTACATCGGAGCGATAGGACGCTGAGGCTCGGAGGGGGATTATGGATTCGAGATCGTATGCGCTTGAAGACTGCGAGTTGGAACTTTTGCTGCGGACCTCGGAGCTGATGGCGTTGTACCGGGCTGTTACTATGTTGGCAGGGCTTTGCTTCATGACTGAGGGTTTCTGCGGCCGGGGCACAATGGTTACAGAGAGATACATTTTCCGCGGGTCGTTTTCGACGGGCTCAGCGATGATTAAGGAGCCGTTCTGATGCGCTTCATCCTTGGGCGTTCCTTCTGCGATGTTAACAACGATGCCAGTCAATCGGTTGATTCGATCGAACCGTTGATTCCTATAGCCGACCCGGACATTGCGGAACACTGATCTCGAGGTTTGCTGGACCGATCTCTGATACAGCCACGCTACTGCCCCAAAAGAGCGGTACACCACTTCCGCATCGAGTGTATACGGGTTCCGCAACAGCCTAGCCAAGTTTTTTCCGATAATAGATGTCGTGTATGCGGGATCTCTAAAATCGGGGAGCATCAAACAGCTCTGTAGGAAGACTTGGTTGGTCCGGACTCCGACACATGCCATGTTCGCAAGAACCTTGAGCATCTTTTCAATTGCTAGTGAACGGCTTGAGGCCCACACAATCACCTTGGCGATCATCGAGTCGAAATAGATTGACACCTGAGAGCCGTCTTGGACTGCTGTCTCGTAACGGATATCACGCCCTGGTCCAAGGATGCCTGGAGCGGGCTGCCATAGTCGTATGGGCCCATGTTCGGGAAAGAAGTCGCGACTGGGATCCTCTGCGCATAGTCGGCACTCGATGGCATGGCCATTTCGTGGTACTGTCCTTAATTGTTCAAGAGCGTCCAATCTCCCTCCCGTGGCGACGTACAGCTGCAATGCCACCAAATCCAGCCCGGTAATCTCTTCAGTGATTGGATGTTCCACCTGTAATCGTGCGTTGACTTCCAAGAAATAGTACTCCTCAGTAGCAACATCTACGACGAACTCGACCGTCCCGGCACCTTCGTATGCAATGAGTTCTGCGATCCGCACAGCAGTGTTGCTCATACGCGTGCGCATATCACCGGAAAGCCACGGACACGGGGCTTCTTCAATGACTTTCTGATGTCGACGTTGCACTGAGCAATCCCGGTCCCACAACGAAACGACTCGTCCGTGTTGGTCGCCTATAATTTGTATCTCGACATGTTTGCCAGCCTCAATGTACTTTTCAAGGATGCAATCGTCCGAGCCAAAACTGCGCTTGGCTTCAGACTGTGCGCGCTCGAGCTCGCCACGCAAGGCCGATGGACTGCGAACAATTCGCATACCTTTCCCACCACCTCCCGCGGAAGCCTTGAGCATGACCGGAAATCCGATGGACTCGGCTGCCTCCTCGAGGTCTTTTGAGCCCTGGCTCGTCCCGGAAAACCCAGGAATCAGAGGTACTTCTGGGGCATGCATGCTAAGATAGGCCTTGGATGTTCTCTTGTTACCCAGCGTTGACATGGCGATACCGCTTGGCCCGAGGAAAATGAGACCAGCATCTCTCGAGCGGTTCGCAAAGTCGGGGTTCTCACTCAAATAGCCATATCCTGGATGGATGGCGTGTGCGCCAACGTCGAGGGCTGTTTTGATGAGTAGGTCGACATCGAGGAACGGGTTGGTCGAAGCACTCTCAATGAACCCTAGATCAAAGGCTTCGTCGGCTTCTGAAACATGGCGTGATAGTTTGTCTCTGAACAAATAATTAGCGTCAGTGAATTGGACAAAGTGAGCGAACACACTCTTGGACATAGACCGCGATCGAGGTTAAGTTGAGCTTGCGGCAGGTGGCAATGACCCTGCATGCTATCTCTCCACGATTGGCGATAAACACTCTCTGAACCTTGGGCTGTCCGTCGTTGTTGAGCAAGAGCTGTGCCACAAAAAGAGATGGCCGTTGGCTAAACATGTTCGAAAGCTCGTCAAGACAATTATTATCAAATGAGAGGAGCAATCATGGGACGAATTATAATTGGACTGCAACGCGCTACTCTCACTGGATAGCAAGATTGCTGGTTAGTGCATCCATGAACAGGGCGGCGCCATCCCACAAAACATGTCCCGGCCCCGCACGGCTGCATCCGCGCCAAGAGAAATGTTCCGGGTACAACCCCAAGCGCGGCCCGGTTGCGTGAAGCCGAGGGTGTTGTAGCCGGACAGAGAAGTGAGGTCTAGTGAGGCTAATTCAGCCTCCTCTGTGCATATTACGATAGACGCCGAGCTCTGTCGTAACGAATCACGATCATCCTTCCCAAGCTGAAACCTGACCACCAACATGTCAATCACACCACTGTATAGCGACCCCCTCTACCTTACTCGTTCAGCTAGTCCCTATTACAAGGACTCGCATCTCCGACTCCAGCATGAGCTTCGAGAATACGTTGCCACTCACATATCGCCATTCTGCGAAGAATGGGAGCTCAAGGGCAAAGTTCCCGCCGATGTGCTCGCTCGCCATGCCGAACTTGGATATGCCGCCGTATCGGTATATCCCCTCGCTACCGAATATCTCAACGGACAGCGTCTGCCTGCTGACATTCAGCCCGCCGAGTGGGATGGATTCCACGATCTCATTTTCATCGACGAGATGGCCAGGTGCGGATACCTAGGGGTGATATGGGGTCTCAGCTGTGGAAACTCTATTGGAGCTCCTCCGCTAGTCAACTTTGGCAGTCATGAGCAAAAGCTTCACTTCCTGCCTGACGTACTACAAGGAAGATCCAGGTTCTGTTTGGGTGTGACTGAGCCAGATGGTGAGAGCTTGTCCAAATTTGAGAATACTTACACCAGCTAATAGTGCACAGCCGGGTCAGATGTAGCGAACCTGACAACCACTGCTGAGCGTCGCGGCGACCATTATGTAGTCAACGGGGCCAAGAAATGGATCACAAACGGCGTCTTTGCCGACTACTGCATGGCAGCAGTAAGAACGGGAGGACCAGGAGCAAAGGGTGTCACAGCTCTCATTATACCGCTGAAGGCGAAGGGTGTTTTGTGCAAGCAGATGCACAATTCTGGTGTTAGTGCCAGTGGTAATTCTCCGCAGTATTCTCAAAGTGCCTAGATACATTACTGACTGCTTAGGCTCGACCTATATCGAATTCGACGACGTTGAGGTACCCGCACAGAACTTGATTGGACGGGAAAATGAGGGCTTTGCCATCGTCATGTCAAGTATGGATACATTGATACGCTGTGTTTGATTGCGATGTGGTCAATCGACCAGTACTGACTTCTCCAGACTTCAACCACGAGAGACTTTGGCTGGCGTGTACGAGTCTTCGCATGGCCCGTGTATGCGCCGAAGACGCATTCAAGCATGCCATAATTCGCGAGACATTTGGAAAGAAGCTTATCGAGAACCAAGTAATCCGCAGCAAGATCTCCCAGTTTGGGCGGAGCATCGATCCTGCTTATGCTTGGATGGAGCAACTTGTCTTCCTGATAGAGCACGGAAAACAAACAGGTCAAGATCCAGCAATCAGTGGTCCGATCGCGAACCTTAAGGTCCTTGCTGGTCAGACCCTCGAGCGGGTCAATCGCGAGGCACAACAGATCATGGGCGGTCTTGGATACTCCCGTAATGGTCGCGGGGCAAGAATAGAACAGATCAGTCGCGACGTGAGGGTTATGGTGGTCGGTGGTGGTAGCGAAGAGATACTAGTCGATCTTTCGGTTAGTCAGGAGATGAGAGCCATGAAGCAGTTGCGTGGGCTGAAGGAGTCTCGATTGTGAGCGCAAACCAAATACGAAATGTTCTTGATCAAACATATACGTTCGGGCACTGTGACCATTTCTGTATCTATTCGATGAAGAGGCGATACAATGGAGGGAGAGAGCGTATATGTGACTTACATCTGATGGTGGGGGAGGGTGATCTCTGCCGCATCCTCTGTTTCGCCTACGCAACATTGCCCAGTCGGGAATAATCCAACGACAATGCCCCCTGAAGGAGCATTTCAAAGTCGGTTGTATCTCCAGACGTGGCATTCAAGGTCGTCACAACGTCCGGACTGTCGCTTGCACTTTGGCGTTCCTCAGCGGTATTTGAGGTAGGTCGATTTGAGCTCACCAACCAACTGTAGTCGCACATGTGCCAAAGCAATTCTTCAAAGTCGGGCACCAGCGGCGCGCGATCGAGGGTACAGGAGAGAAGAATCCTGGCTAGTTCAGATGTTGGCCGGAAGTCTCTTAGTAGACGGCTCTTTTCATCGTTAGCCAATGCATCATCCTAGTGATTATATGCTCATGAGATATAGAGAACCACGCTTACCATACGTTTGTACGACTGCCATCGTACCGACTTATGCTCTAGGTAGCGGAGACATGATTTGTAAGCTGCTTCTACAGCATCCCTTTCGAGAAAAGACGCCTTTTCGATGTGAAGTCGGAGAATCATCCCAGCTACAGTAGCCGCGTATGCAAAGAAACTGGGATAAGTCTTACAACCACGCTCTTGAAGGGCGTGTAGAATGGCTGCCAAGCGTGACGCGTGTTCCACGCTCTTAAGCATAGCATCTCGAAGAAACCCAACGGGTACATTCGCCTCAAATGTCTGTAAATGCTGCCGTAGAAGAAAAGGGTGATGAAGGAGACACTGGTTGACATAGTAGATAACATGTGAATAAGTGAAATGGGACGACAGTCCTTCATCGATGGAGCCCTGGAATACAAAGTGCTTATCGAGAATGTCGACGAAATTACCGTTGCAGGCATCAGAGTAGGATTCGAAGCTCAGTAGCATACCGTTGATGCGCGAGAACTCACTCCTCGAGTCCCACGGGAGTCGAATTTCGGGGGCGCTTTGCCTGAAAGCCCACCTTGCTATGTGCCCAAGCGTGGAGACCATGAAGATAGTTAATGCGAAATGATCACTCTTTTCTAGCGGAGGAGTATCCGGGATTTCTTGTATAGCTGCCAGTGTTGGCAGTTCCATTTGGGGTGTGGCTCGTAAAGAGCATTGGTCGACTGGCAATCGTACTTTACAGTCAACATCGAGGAGTGTTGGCGGCCTGTGCCGACCACAGGACACCAACTTATCCAGAATATAGACGGACCAGAATGTGTGACGTCGCTCCTCAGTTACGTTTTGCGGAAGTCCTGGAGGAGGCTCATTTCCGAGCTGCAATGTCTGTGCAAGACGGACCGCTAGACCTATCTTCACCCAGGCGACTTGAGGGCGTCCAGCTCAGTTGGAGTCAGCAACGATATCATAGCACGGCGGGGTAGGGTCATTTACCGATATAGTCGACAATTCCTAGCATATTGGCTGCCTGGACCGTGTGTACACTCGGGCCGTGGTCATCCGAGAAGGACTGTTCCATGATTTGTGACCAAGCCAACCTTGAGTAACAATTCATGGCTTCCGCTTGGCGTCCGACAAAACAAAGCTCATTAGAGTAGCTTACAGCAATTGCGGCGATAGCAAGCGTAAGATAGGAGGGTAGGATTCCCATCTCGAGGCTTTGACGGAAAGTACCCTCGTGGAAATAAGTGTATGGGTGCTGGTGACAATGATGGAAATAGATATCAGTGAGAGATTGTAAAGTGTAATGGTCTAGCAAGGACGCATATTCGCTGCAAGTTGCATGAGTCCTGACAGTACTTGAGGTGACTATGTCGATCCACTGACCTATCGGCACGAGTACCAGGGAGCGTTGCTCCTAGTTGCCCATCTGTGGCATTGGACTGCTGCCCAGTGCTGCTACTGGTCGCGTACGAAGCAGTCGGAACAGTGTTGTTAGCGTCGAGAAGACTGAGCCTTGATTCTAGAAGAGCAACACGGGCCGCCAGGCGGTTATTTTCCTCTGGCAATGGATTCGTGCCGGGCTGCAAATTAAACTCCTGGTACGCATCTTCGGCATAATGACAATGTTGGCTCAAACGAGCACAAAATGCACAGATAGGTCGTTCTCCGGAACAGCGGGTTTTCTTGCGTCTGGTACTTGAAGTCAGTCGCGTTCACCCTGTCGATGATAGGTTCAGAGGCCTCACCGGCAATTATCGCACGCTTGTCGTACGCGTTTGTATTCTCTTCCTTGTTCTTCGGCCATCAACAGCGTCTCGTAGTTGGCGAGATGCGGTGGAACTGAAGATCTATTTACTTATTGAGTCCTACTCGGTTTCAGCCGTGTACTGCGCAGCTATGCCCGGAGTGACAGGTTGTGGCAGACAGCGGACGCGGTGCGGACGTTGATCCGCGCCGCCCCACTTCATCTCTCGAACGGGACCAGCTGCCCCCGCAAACCTGCCGAAAACACCACACACAGCGAGAACTCAATTTTTGGAACTACCATCACAGAAGCGTGCAAACACACCTGCCAGAGGCTGCAACGCTCTCTACAGGCCATCACGCGTCCCTCCGCGTAGGTCTGGTACCTGTAGAGCCGCCGTTGCGGCCCTGGTAGGGAGGGATCAACAAACTCTGCGAGCAAGCTACTTAGAACGACACGTCCACCAAATGCAGCGGCAGCCATCTAGCCGCGACAACAGCAACGCGAGACGCGACGACAGAGCCTAGACACCTCCCGAGCATTATGGTCGCAATACACACACAGCTGTCACCGATGGGCTTCCTGGTTAGCCTATTACTAACCGACAATGTCTGCGATGTCCCGCATCGGCGATCCCTCGGGCTGAACAGCATCACCTCACACGCGAATCCCTTCACAGACACCCCGGCATGCTATCGTCGGTGCCACAACATACTTACTGATCACCAGACAGCCTCGTCCACTGTCGCCCTACGTGTTGAAGGAGTGGTGCCCCCTTTGACACAACCGACAAGGTCTGAGGTGATTCACGCGAGAGCTCTCATGCTTAGTAGACTCGACGACTCGCACGAGCGGAGCATCGCCCCTATAGAGCTGCGTCGCGACGAATTGCTGCTGCCGTTGCGCCTGATGGCAGGTCACACCACACACCATGGCCACATAGGAACCTAGTGAGCGGCAACAAAACACAAAAGAACAAGAACGACGGAACCGTATTCAAGCCCTGAGGGCATGTGGGCAGGTACACACAGACGAAGCTGAGCATCAGGGGGAGACTGAAGGTACTGCAGACGCGACAGACGAGGCAACGCGCCTCTACGAGCCTTGAAACATCGTTACACATACAAGACTTCGAGTACGGCATACACACGGGAACAACAACTTGAGGAACACAAACACAGACAAACACGTCACTTCTAGAGACGAGATGTAGATAGTCGTAGATAGAAGCCAGATAACGGCAGGCCTCTGGGGACAGATGGCTCTTTCGAGAGTGAAGTGAGGCGGTGCAGATTCACGTCCGCACCGCGTCGGCTGTCTGCCACGCCTGTCTTTCGGGCATAGCTGCGCAGAACGCGGCTGAAACCGAGTAGGAATCAAACCAAACCAAACCAAACCAAACCGAAAACCTGCCGTTTTCCCTCAACCACTATCTACAATTTGCCTGCCAGCTCATCTCGATAGCGGTTCTACTGACTGTATGCTGTATTTCTAGGCTCGTAGAGGCGCGTTGCCTCGTCTGTCGCGTCCGCTGTACCTACAGTCTCCCCCAACGCTCGGCGTCGTCTACGTATCTCTGATCCCCACTTGCCCAAGGATATGCGTCTGCTCCATATATTCGATGGCTTTGGTGGCTAGCTGTGGCGTGCTCAAGATTGTCCGGAGGCTATGTCGTCCGGATGGGTTGGCGAAGATGGGGTTCCGGAGGTCCTTGTACTCGCTGCAGTGGAGGAGGATGTGGGCGACGGTCTGTCGCCTCTCTCCACAGCTGCAGCGGGGACTGGTGACGGTCGGGACGTGTCGATTGAAGAGAAAGTCTTTAAGTCCAATCTTCTCGGTCCGCAGCTGCACCAGCAGAGCACTCTCCCTCTTGCTAAGCCTCTCGTGGAGCTGCAGCACTTTCTTGGTGGGCGTCGGCGTGTGCCTGTATGTCGCGCGGCCTTTCTTGTCTTCCCTCCACGCGCTGATCCACGCTCTCTCTGCCTGCGTATTGCACCACCTTCTAAGCGTCGTCCTGAGTGGGTATAGCTGTGCGGGTGGGTCTGCTGGCTGCTGGCTGCGGCCGTCCTCCCTCCATCCGGTGGCTTCCTTGGCAGCCTGGTCGGCGGCCTCGTTTCCTGGGATGCCCTCATGGGCTGGGATCCATCGGACGGTCACCAAGTGTCCTTTGTTCTGAAGCTCCAAAACCTGTCGTGCAATCTCCTTAAGGATGTACGCCCCTGACCGCCCCTCCGCCTTGGCTATGGACCATATTAGCGGCCTGGTTGTCAGTGTATATGGCTATCTGTTTACGTTCGCCGCTTTCGTCTGCATACTCGTGCGCGATCTGCAATGCCAGGCTGATGCCTTGCAGCTCCGCAACGTATACCGTTGACAGTGTGTCTGATCCCATGTGCGCGGATAGTGTCTGTTGTGTTAGCGGGCATACCACTGCAGAGCCGATCTCGCCCTCGATGCCGCTTCCGTCTGTGTAGATGCTGAGGCTCTTGTCTGTTTGGCATTCTCTATCATGGCGCTTGCGGGCCTTTTCCGCATCGTTGTCGATGTAGGTACGTGGCCCTCGCCGCCATGGAGGTGTGATGAACGGGGGAATCGACTCTTGCTTGTCGAGATCGCGCACCTGCTTGCTCCTCAGTGCCTCGTAGGCTTTCTGCCAAGGGGTTTTGTGTGCCCTGTAGTTCTTGTCGATGTTTACTGGTACTGGTTCGCGTGGCTCGCAGCATGCAGTCTTCGCGATGGCCC